CACACTCAGCTACCCATTCTACGAGGCTCACTCTCACATGGCCGCCAACACACCCAGCCACCCACTCTGCCAGGCTCACACTCATGCAGCCACACATACACACACACACAGCCACCCACTTTACCAGCCGCCCACTTCACTAGCCTCCCATCCAGTCAGCGAGTATGACCTTTAGTGGAAGACGTTGATATATCGTTGACAGAAGCTGAAGTACCCAAAGATCTTCATGACGGTCCGTGTGTGCAAAAGTGTGTGCGTGTGTGCAAGAGAGTGTGCATATATATGATTGTGTGTGTGTGTGTACTTACCTATTTGTACTCGCCTATTTGTGGTTGCAGGGGTCGAGTCATAGCTGCGTGTGTGTGTGTGCGTGCGTGTGTGTATTTGCATGTGTGTCTGAGCATGTTTTACCAGTTACCTTTTTCGCTGCACTGCGTTCAGGATTTTTTTCATCTTATTGTCATTGCCTCACCTGAAGCCTGGTCTCTCGCACCCATCACCTGCCATTCTTCTCTTTATAATGTAACACAAGGCACTGAAAGTTCAGTACTTCATGATCACTAGTGCCCAGTGAATTCTCATATTCTATTTCACTTAGGTCAGATGAACTTGCAGCAAATAATAGATCCAGTCTTGCTGGCTCAATTCCTTTCTTTCTTGCCTTTTCCTTAACATGGTGGCAAGCAAAAAATTTCCCTAACCACCGTCTTCAACGTAACCCTCCATGACTCCGGTCTCTCACCTGGGTTCCATTTCTTTGTTTATGGTTGAAATCGCCCATAATAAGGAGCTATGCTTCTGCAATGATGTCAACTATTGCTTTGTTGATGTCTTTATATTCGTGTCTTGGTCTCCAACTGTGCAGTTGTAGTTCATAAGTCACAACAGCTACTATTCTGGGTCCCCCGTTTATAATTGTAACTTATGTGGTTATTGTCTTCATGTCTGTGTTTATCCCTCATATCTATTCAAAACTCCATCGATTTCTGATTGGCATTGTCACCACTAGTGTTGGTGCTGAGGAATTAAGGGTTGGTCTCGAGGTGGACCACCTAGGAAATGGGCTGGAAAGTGAGTTTTTTTTTTTTTTTTTTTTTTTTTTTTTTTTTTTTTTTTTTTTTGAGGGGCCCGTCCTCCTGCCTCCTTATCTGCTACTCTTTTCTCTGTATGACGGCTTTTTTACGTCCACTCTTCTGCACCCTCTTCATTTCCAACCTGTATTAATTCAGGTATACATAATTGTAGTGTGTCGTCTTCAAATTGCTTTTTGTCTTAGAATCCTCTTCTGCGCTATATGTGACCTTATAGTTTGATTAGTCGTTAATTGCCAAGGGAGAACTTCACAGAGTCATCTGAAAAATTTCGATCTCTCTTTCTGTGCATCCTGGACAGAGCCAGATTAAGATTTTGTAGGCCCCTGGGCTACAGGTACTGTGATGACCTTGGGCTACAGGTACTGTGAGTTCCCCATTAATATTTTCAAAAGGAAAAAAGCTTAAGAAATGTTAAATTTATTTTTAAAAGGCTAATAACCTCAAATATAATTCAAACATTTGCTTTGCGTAATTTCTTGGAAAGAAATTTCTCCCAAAACATCAATAAACTAAGTTGTTGAGAGCATCGTTTTCACTTGTCATGATGTGCAAAATGAGCTTCATTAAAAAACTGTAAAATGAAAATCATATAAAAAGGAAAGCAGGCAAAATTTTTTCGCTAGGTTTGACAAGTTCACACAATGACAATATACTGTAACGCCTTAACAAACCGAATAACGCCCTGTCTTATAGGGATCCACTCTTAAATCTTTATAAAAATAATCACAACAGTCAGTAGTTCATCATATACTTATTATAATTATAAACTTAAGGCAGTGACTGTGAACATTTTTCTCAGACACTGCTGTAGTTAATCTCCGGAGGCCTCCAGCTGGTGGAGGCGCTTGGGCTGCAGCCCCTAGAGCCAGTGCCTTAATGAGGCTCTGTGCAACCAGTGGCCAATATGATCTAACGTTGCTTGTCATGTTGCTTCCTGGTTTTCCTTTAGCTTTCATGAGTACTGGCCTACCACGTTTTTCCTCCCATTTCTCTTCCCTCAAATTTTGGTTGTTTTTGCTCTTTCCCATTGCTGTCTCTGTTGTTACTTTTTAGCAACATCATCATCTGAGAGAGCATCAGAGTTTTTCATTTTTTGTCCTTTCCGTATACCACTGCTTCTACCCTTATTACTCTTCGCTTTATTTCCTCTAAGATTCCTTTAACATTTTTATTTCTTCTGAGAATAAGGTTAATTCTTCAGGCACATTAACAGTGTTATTTGTTCTGACACCTCTTATCTTATTTTCTTGTTTTGACACATATTATCTTGTTTTATATATCTCCGGTCCCATATGTCTCCAAATTTTCCCAGTCTGTCTCCTTATAGTTGAAATCCCCTATGATGAGTAACTTTGCCCTGCTTATGTGGGCCCGTTGGATCACCTCGGCCAGTATGCCCACCATCGTTCTTTTGCACTCGTTGTATCTTGTTTTCGTCTCCTACTGTATGTTGGCGGGTTTTTCATCACTGCTATCATCACTTTGGACCCCTGGTTAGAAGTGTTCTTACTATGTAGTCATCCACTTCACCTCTGACTAATCCTTCTATCTCCGCAAAACTCCATTGGTTTTTGATGAGCAGTGCAACTCCTTCTCTCTCTCTGTTCCTCTTGTCTTTTCTCAGTATCTGATACTCTCATAGGAAGATCTCATCTGTTATCCCCCTCAAGGAAGGTTCCTTGATGTTGGTGAGGGGCTCTTGATTTAGGGAATTGGATCTGTGCTCCAGTTCCCCGAATTAAGCCTGAATGCCTTCCACATCCCCCCCCAAGGCGCTGTATAATCCTCCGGGTTTAGCGCTTCCCCTTGATAATAATAATAATAATAATCATCTGTTATCACCCCTGTGAGCTTTGTTTCTGGGAGTGGCATGATGTCTCGGGATGCTTCGGTGATTCTTTCCTGCCACTGAGGGGAGGGGAGGGTGGGGTGAGGATGGGTGTGTGGGGTGAGAACGGATGTCTAGGGTGAGGACAGGTGTGTGGAATTGAGGAGGAATGTGTGTGGTAAGAAGGGGTTTGTAGGGGTGTGTGGGGTGAGGGGTGTTGTGGTGAGGGTGTGAGGAGGAGAGTGTGGGGTGAGTGAGGAGGGGTGTGTAGGGTGAGGAGGGGTGTGTAGGGTGAGGAAGGGTATGTGGAGCGATGAGGGATGTGTGGGTTGAGGAGGGGTGTGTGGGTTGAGGAGGTGTATGTGGGGTGAGTGAGGAGGGGTGTGTGGGGTGAGGAGTGAGGAGGGGTGTGTGGGGTGTGATGAGTGTGGTGGGTTGTAGGGGTGTGTGGGGCGAGGAGGGGTGTGTGGAATGAGGAGGAGTGTGTGGGGTGAGGAGGGGTGTGAGGGTAAGGAGGGGTGTGTGGGTTGAGGAGGGGTGTGTGGAGTGAGGAGGGGTGTTAGGGTTAGGAAGGATGTATGGAGTGAGGAGGGGGTGAGGGGGGAGTCTTGTTTAGATGTCAGTAATAACGTCAGCAGTGGTTGAACTGGGGGTTAAACGTCTGAAATTTAAAAATTATATTTACTTGAATTTTCATAAATTCGGGTGGAGAGCAGCTCGGAAATAGGACTGCCTATGACTTTTCGAGTGTGAAAAACACCGTGTTCTTAAGATGGTGTGGCTGTTGCCTCATTAAGTGCTGCCTATTATAGTACAGCCTAGTACAGGAGTCATGGTGCAATGATCTTGTGCGCTATGTTAATTTCTGTGATGCATGTGTGTGTGTGTGTGTGTGTGTGTGTGTGTGTGTGTGTGTGTGTGTGTGTGTGTGTGTGTGTGTGTGTGTGTGCATGTGTGTGCATGTGTGTGCATGTGTGTGTGTGCATTGTGTGTGCATTGTGCGTGTGCGTGTGCGTGTGTGTGTGTGTGTGTGTGTGTGTGTGTGTGTGTGTGTGTGTGTGTGTGTGTGTGTGTGTGCGTGCGTGCATGTGCGTGTACTATTTATGGTTGCAGGGGTCGATTCACAGCTCCTGTGTACTCACCTATACGTGTTTGCAGAGGTCGATTCACAGCTTCTGGCCCCACCTCTTTGCTAGTCGCTACTAGCTCACTCTCTCTCCCCGCTCCAAGAGCCTTATCATACCTCTTCTTAAAGCTATGTATGGCTCTTGCCTCCACTACTTCACTTTCCAGATTTTTCCACTTCCTGACAACTTTAAGCTAAACATCCCTGTGACTCATCTGAGTTTTCAAATTCCAGTTGTGGCCCCTTATTCTGTGTCCCATCTCTGAAAAATTCCCGCCTTGTCCACCTTGCCAGTTTCTCTCAGTACTTTATACGTCGTTATCATGTCAAACTCCTTTCTCTCCTATTCTTTAGTGTCATCAGGATAAGTTCCCTTAACCTTTCCTCATAAGGAATTTTCCCTTAGCTCCGGGACTAGTTTTGTTGCAAACTTTTGCACTCTCTCCAATTTCTTGAAGTGTTTGACCAGGTGTAGGGGTTTAATACTGGTGCTGCATATTCCAATATGGACCTGACATACACGGTGTACAGTGCCATGAATGACGCCTTAGATGTCGAAATGCTATTCTTAGGTTTGCCAAGCGCCCATATGCTGCAGCGGTTATTTGATTGATCTGCGCCTCAGGGGACGTGCTCAGTATGATGCTCACTTCAAGATCCTTTTCCTTAAGTGAGGTTTGCAGCCTTTGATCCCTATCATGTATTCCGTCTGCGGTCTTCTTTGTCGTTAGTAGTTAATTCTTAGCAGTAAAATACATAAACATTATATTATGATATGTAAGACAAGCCTAGTGTTTGTTTTACTGTTTTTGTACTCTAAATGAGGCAAGTTAGCAAATAACATTGTTTCTGGTATACATGTCTTGAAGCCAGCTGGGTAGTGATGACACGGTGACGTCAGTAGCTTATGACAACACTGGTGGACCCCACTTGTGACAGCCAGTGTATGCTCGGCCGCTGTGCAGTGAAGACGTGAGTTACTCCGCAGGTGAGCTCAACCACATGTTGCTTCATCACTCGCACTTGTAAAACTAACAAATATAAATGAAGAATCAGTGAGTTTCCACATTATTAGACCATTTGTCTTAATGAGTTTTTTTTTTATATTTAGGCAGAAATGCCTATTGTTAGTGTATTAGATGGAAATTTCAAAGATTTTGTTAAACTACGTAACTTCGAGTTGAAATAATTGCATTGTACATCGTCAAGGAAACTGATCACGAGGTCTGATATGTTAAAATATTGACTTATTGTGCTCAGGGATACCCTTCATTGAAAAATTTAATTAACCAGTATTTTAATGCAATAATAATGTTACGGAGAGGTACCTTGATAATAAATGCTCCTGATCCAAGGACTTGGCGCTATCTTTTTCCTGGCTCAGTCTATATAGTAATAATGCTGAGGCAGCCAAATAAGTTTGGCAGCCTCATTACTTTGGAAAAAAAATTCCCCCTTATTTCATTTCTACTTTGTCAGCCAGCAAAATTTCGTACTATACCGAGTCGTATCTTTCAGCTGGGAGTAGTGATGCTGGTGAGTGTCTCTTGATCCAGGGATTGGAGCTTCCTTTAGCGTCTTTGAATTAACTTTTTAACCCCCCCCCTCAAGTGCTGTATGACCCTAACTGGCATAGCGCTTCCTTGCGAATATTATAATCGTAAAACTAATAATTTTAACATTTAAACTTTAATATTAGTTAAGTAAGTATAATTTTTTTCCCTGAAATTCACTTCAGCGTCAAAAATTTTCACTAGATGGAGGTGCGAGATTGTCAAAACTATTATCCAGAGGGGTGAGGAGGGGTTGTTGAGCTGGTTCGGACATAAAGAGGACGAAGTAAAATAGAATGACTTCGAGTGTATAAATCTGTAGTGGAGGGAAGGCGGGGTAGGGGTCAGCGTAGGAAAGGTTGGAGGGAGGGGGTAAAGGAGGTTTTGTGTGCGAGGAGCTTGGACTTCCAGCAAGCATGCGTAAGCGTGTTAAATAGGAGCGACTGGAGACAAATGGTTTTTAGGATTTGACGTGCTGTTGGAGTGTGAACAAGGTAACATTTATGAAGTGATTAAAGGAAACCGCTAGGCCGGACTTGAGTCCTGCAGGTGGGAGGTACAGTGTCTGCACTCAGAAAGAGGGGTGTTAATGTTGAAGTTTTATAACTGTAGTGTAAGCGCCCCTCTGGCAAGACAGTGATGGAGTGAATGATGCTGAAAGTTTTTCTTGTTTGGGTCACCATACCTTGGTGGGAAACGGCCGATGTGTTAATAAAAATAAAAAAAAATAAAAATTACATTAAAAATATTTTAACTACGACAACACGAATACTAGTCCGAAAGAAAATAAGACAGTATATGGGTTAGTACCCAAACATGCCTCTAACCCGATTACCTTATCATGACACGAGAGATTCTGGGTTAGTACCTCAAACACGGCTCTGAATGCCTCCCAGTCACATTTAAAATATGATTTCTGCAAGATTAGTTCTCCTCCCATGCATATAAATAAGTGAAGAATTCCTAAGTAAAATTAAGACTAAAACAACTCCATTGCTTTGACCTTAGAATACCAGAGTAGTAACTTAAGAACTGTAAACAGAGTAATAACTATTGACCTGCAAGTACCAGAATAGTAACTAGAACTGTGAATGCCTTATTAGTAACGGTAGACCAGTCAACACCACCATAACTGTACACCCATGAGCACGAGAACAGTAACTATTCCTTTGAACACCAGTATAGTAACTGTAGACCTGTGAACACCAGAAGAGTAAATACCGACCTGCGAACACCAGAATAGTAACTGTAGATATGTAAGCAGAATAATAACTATGCAGGGAACACAAGAATAGTTACTGTAAATAAGCTTCACAACAGTAACTGTAGACCTGTGTGCTTCATAACAGTAACTGTAGACCTGTAATCACCAGAATAATAATTATAGATATGTGAGAACCAAAATTGTATCTGGAAACATGAACATCAGAAAAGTAAATCTCGACCTGTTAACACCAGAGTAGTAAATGTAGACCCGTGAGCACCAGAGTATAAACTGCAGACATGTAAGCACCACAGTAGTAACTGTAGACATGTGAACACCAGAGCAGCAACATTTAAATCTGTGAACACCAAAACTGCAACAATATGTATAGACTTGGGAGCCCCAGAATAATAACTGTAGACATGTGAGAATCAGAAGAGTAAATATCGAAGTGTGATCACAAGAAAAGTAACTAAGCAGAAGAGCACAAGATCAGTAGCTGAAGACATGTGAAGCCAGAATAGTAACTGGAGGCAAATGAGCTCCGAAGAGTAAATGAACTGTGAGCACAGCAGTAGCAGCTTTAAACACAGCAGCACCAAATTAGTGGTTGTAGACTTGAGTACTATTATCTGTAAACCTGTGAGTACCGGAATAGTAACTGTAGTAGTACCACCAAAGCTATAGCTGAATTCCTTGGTGTTTATCATGGTTGGCCTGTGTGCACCCGAGAGTTTGTACAGCCTAGCTAGTGCACAGAACAGTAACTGGAGATCTGTGTGTACCTGAGGGTCCGTGTACACCAGAGGGTTCATGTGCACTAGAGCTGTAATTGGACACCTGTGTGCACCAGAGGGTCTGTCTGCCCCAAAGACGTAACAGGATACCTGTGTGCACCACGGTTAATTGAGCCAGCTGAGCGGCTACTTTATTGTGCACTCCATGCTCATCCTGTCAACGTTGGCGCGTGCACACAAAAAACACTTACATAGTGCTTTACCAGACTCCACTAGGCATAGTTACTTCATATAACTAGTGTTCACGTTACAATGTGGAGATACTCAAAAAATAAGGATTTTATTACCACTTAAAAACGTAATATAATTATTTCTATAAGTACATGTACAAGGTATACAGGCCAAGCTGACATCAATAACATATTGCTATATAGAAAACCCCTAATTTGCTCGAAATGCAGAGCATTTCGAGCAAATTAGGTCCTTGTCCCAGGATGCGACCCACACCAGTCGACTAACACCCAGGTACCATTTTATTGATGGGGAACATAGACAACCAGTGTAAGAAAACACTCCCGAAGCTTCTACCCTTGCCGGGAATTGAACCCGGACCCCTCACCGTGTGAAGCGAGAGCTTTAGCCATCAGGCCACGGGACATGAAATTAGTTTGCTAGTTCTTTTCTAGCAATGTTTCTGAAACTTCCGATTGCGATACCAAAATTATACTCAATATTCTCTCTGTATTGTACAAGTTCTTATAATTCATCCAGTGTGTCATACCCCTTGAAGCTTGTGTGGGGGCCTCTAGTGCCCACTGTGGGCACCAATAAACAGCAAGAACTTGTCTGCACCAAATGATTCATGTGCAGAAGACTCGTGCACTGGAGGATCAGAGTGCACCAGACAAGTGTACACCATAGAACCCGTGTTAACTCAGAAACTGGTGACTTGGAATGCACAATTTTTTTAGTGTGCACTAGAGAACCCGTGAGCACCAGAGGACCCTTGTTCACCAAGTCTGGGATATCGTATGCTTGGTTTCCTGTCTGAGCCTGTGTGTATCTGTTTACCCTTGTTTGTTTAGCTGTGTACACACCTATATGTGGTTGCAAGGGTCGAGTCGGCAGTCTTGTGTGCGCGCGCCTGTGTGCGAGCGCGTGAGTATGTGTGCTTGTGTACTCTACACATGAGTATTTTCTGTTCACCTTTGTGTGTGTGTACTCACCTAATTATGGTTGCAGGGGTCGATTCATAGCTCCTGGCCCGCCTCTTCACTGGTCGCTACTAGGCCCACTTCCCCTGCTCCTTGAGCTTTATTGTACCTCTTCTTAAAGCGATGTATGGATCCTGCCTCCACTCTATCACTCTTCAGACTGTTTCACTTCCATTTTGACAAGTTACATACATGTATCTCCGATCACACCGAAGGGAAATGTTACGCTCATAGACAGGTAATGACTGTCGGAAATCCATTGTCTTACCTATTACGTAATTTGTACATGGATATATACTTCAGATTTATAAATCATTGGTCAGGCCTCATTTAGTTTATGCTGCAGAGTTTTGGTCACCGTATTACACAGTAGATAATGCGCTGGAAAATATACAGAGATGGATGACAAAGTTGAGCCCATGAATCAGAAATCTTTCCTATGAGGATAGACCGAAGGAACTGAGTACGTATGTACTTACTGCAAAGGCGCAGAATTAGGGGAAATATGACTGAGGTGTATAAATGGAAGACAGGAATGAATAAAAGTGCACATAAAAAAACGTGCTAAAAATATTTCAGATATGGTAAACATGAGGAAATTAAATCTTCATCAGAGTACAAAACAAATTCTGGCCACAAAATAGAGCGAAACACCAACGTCAAAGACCTGGGAGTGATCATGTCGGAGGATCTCACCTTCAAGGACCATAACATTGTATCAATCGCATCTGCTAGAAAAATGACAGGATGGATAATGAGAGCCTTCAAAACTAGGGAGGCCAAGCCCATGATGACACTCTTCAGGTCACTTGTTCTATCTAGGCTGGAATATTGCTGCACACTAACAGCACCTTTCAAGGCAGGTGAAATTGCTGACCTAGAAAATGTACAGAGAACCTTCACGGCGCGCATAACGGAGATAAAACACCTCAATTAATGGGAGCGCTTGAGGTTCCTAAACCTGTATTCCCTGGAACGCAGGCGGGAGATACATGATTATATACACCTGGAAAATCCTAGAGGGACTAGTACCGAACTTGCACACGAAAATCACTCACTACGAAAGCAAAAGACTTGGCAGACGATGCACCATCCCCCCAATGAAAAGCAGGGGTGTCACTAGCACGTTAAGAGACCATACAATAAGTGTCAGGGGCCCGAGACTGTTCAACTGCCTCCCAGCACACATAAGGGGGATTACCAACAGACCCCTGGCAGTCTTCAAGCTGGCACTGGACAAGCACCTAAAGTCAGTTCCTGATCAGCCGGGCTGTGGCTCGTACGTTGGTTTGCGTGCAGCCAGCAGCAACAGCCTGGTTGATCAGGCTCTGATCCACCAGGAGGCCTGGTCACAGACCGGGCCGCGGGGGCGTTGACCCCCGGAACTCTCTCCAGGTAAACTCCAGGGAAACGGAAAACAATACTATGTTCAGTAAAGACAAATTCCAGCTACTGAAGTTATGGAAAACTAGAAGAGATAATAACTTGAACAGAGTATACTACAAACTCTAATCATACAATAGAGCGGAAAAGTAATGTGAAGGACCTGGGAGTGGTACTGTCTGAGGATCTCACTTTCATAGATCACAGCAGTGCCACTATCACATCTGCGAAAAAAATGATAGGATGGATAATGAGAACGTTCAAAACAAGAAATACTAAGCCAGTGATGATCCTTTATAAATCGCTTGTACTCTCACTGCTGGAATAATGCTGTACATTAACATCTCCATTCAAAGCAGGTGAAATTGCAGATCTAGGAACTGTACAGAGAACTTTTACTGCACATATAAGTTCCGTCAAACACACTAGCTACTGGGAACGCTTGGAAACACTTGACTTTTACTCTCTGGAGCGCAGGTGAGAGAGGTACATCATAATCTACACTTGAAAAATCCTAGAAGGAATGGTCCCTAATCTGCACACACAAATCAGTCCTTGCGAAAGCAAAAGACTAGGCAGGCGGTGCAAAATACCCCCAATGAAAAGTAGGGGCGCCATTTGCAAAGAGAAAACACAGTAAGTGTCCGGGGCTTAAGACTGTTCAACAGCCTCCCACCATGCATAAGGGGAATTACCAGTAGACCTCTGGCTGCCTTCAAGAGGGAGCTGGACAGATACTTAGTCGGTGCCGGATCAGCTGGGCTGTGGTTCGTACGTTGGACTACGTGAGGCCAACACTAACAGCCTGGTTGATCAAGCCCTGATCCACTGATAGACTTGGTCGTGGACCAGGCCGCAGGGGCGTTGATCCGCGGAATACCCTCCAGGTAGACTCCAGGGAAGAGATGACTTGCTGCAATAGGTTCAAACTAGTAACAGAGTCGTAGATGGTAGATTAAAAAATAAGTTAGAAAAGTACAAAAGTGGACTTGGGTGAGTGAGAGATGGAGGTGCCTAGCATGGACCAGAAGGGCTGCTGCAGTGCTGCTCCTCCTCCTTATGTTCTTATAACATGCGAATGCATGTATTTCATGTCTTGGCATGCACCAGTTCCACCGGTACACACTGAGTCACTGGGTTAAGAACGGGATTTCCAGAACATAGCTTTCAGTAATTGGACGATTACTATGTAAATCAGTCCCAACTTTGCTCGTGCCACTTCTCACATTTATCCCTCTGCATTGTTGTACCATACCTTCAGCTTCTTTCAATACTGTATTTTGGGAGGTAGGAAGAATTGGTGCAGAGGAGGGTAGGAAGGCACTGTGTGTGCCATTAACAACAATCTTCAACAAATCTATTGAAACAAGGTAACTACAAGAGGTGTGGATGAAAGTAAATGTAGTCCGAATTTTTAAGAAGGAAGACAGACCGGAAGCATAAGCTCAAGACCAGTGTCACTGACGTGTATAGTATGAAAAATAATGGAGATTATCAGTAGAAGAGTGGTGGAGCACCTAGAAGGGAACGAGCCCATACACAACAACCAGCACTGGTTTCAGGAATGGAAAATATTGCGTCATAAGCCTACTGGAGATCTACGACAAGGTAACAATAGTAAGACTGGAGAAAGAGAGAGCGCGAGGGTGATGGAGGGGGGACGTTGGTAGACTGCATTTTCTTGGACTGTAAGAAGGCTTTCGACGCAGTTATGCACAAGAGATTGATATAAAACCTAGAGGAGCAGGGCATGTCTAGCAAGAAAAGCACTGCAATGGATCAGAGAATATCCAACAGGAAAGAAACGACTAGTGACGGTATGTGACGAGGTGTCAGAGTGGGCGCATGAGTCAAGAAGCATTCCAAAAGGACCGGTGTTGTTTCTGGCATATGTGGATGATATAACTGAAGGGATAAATTTTTAGATGTCCTTGTTTGCAGATGACGTGACGCTAATGGGAAGAATTCAAGCGGACGACGTCCAGGTAAGATTACAAAGGATTTGGACAGGCTGCCGTCCTGGTCTGAAAAATGGCTCCTGGAGTTTAACCCCGCCAAATGCAAAGTCATGAAGCTTGGGGAATGAAGACTGCAGATGGAGTACATGCTCGGGGGTCAGAGACTGTAAACCTCGCTTAAAGAAAAGGATCTTGGGGTGAGCATCACACAACATCCCGTGACGTACACAATAACCAAATAACTGCTGCAGCATATGTGCGCCTGGTAAACCTAAGAATAGCATTCCGACATCTAAATAAGGAGGCATTCACGATACTGTGCACAGTACGGCAGGCCCATTTTGGAGTATGCAGCATCAGAATGGAACCCATACCTGGTCCAGCATGTCAAGAATTTAGAAAAAGTGAATTTAGAAAAGAGAATGAAATTAGTTCTGTAGCTTTCCACAGCCACGTATGTGCTATCATCAGGAGCGACGTGTCCCGTTATACTTGGCACCTGCTGATTATAACATAAGACTCAGTAGTTAAAGGCATATCGAAATTTTGGCGGGATTCTCGGGAGGCGTGCTGAAATATTAGGGATTCAATCCCAGGTTAGTCATATAATATTGTTTATATAATATATATCACCGTATTTTCCGGCATGACGGTGCATGAACATATAAAATGCACCTCAATTTTAACAAGCATAATCTGAAAAAAAAAAAAACTTTTTCCCTGATCTTCATGGCCACCCCCACTATCGGGTCATTTTAAAACTTCTTATCCATTCCGATCTATATTAAACCTCATTATTTCCCTGTTCATGATCATCTTGGTCACTGTCATGCTCATCCAGGTATTCCTCTGAATCAGCAATGCTTTCTGAGTTAGAAGTGTCTGTTTCCTCGTATAGAAGGTCATCTGTGCCGGCAAGGGCATTGCTAATGCACTACTTCCTAAATGACCGTATAACTGTGTGTTTAAATTTCATTCCAAGGGTTTTTGGTACACTGGCAAACCTGAGCAATTGTTGGCCCCTTCATCCAACCTGTGGATGTTACCTCGTGTTGTGGGAGTGTCATTCATTTGTTCCATTCTTCGAGTATGTACTCCTTAAAAGGCGTATTTATTCACACATCCAGGGGTTCCATTTGACCTGTTAATCTTCCAGGTATTATAGCTACTTGTGTTTTTAAAATGTTTCCTCTTAGTGACCTTTGTTAAGCGAGACTTGAATTGGTCCCACACGAGAAGTGACGGGATTTTCAGGAGTCCACCAGGACGCCTTGACTACACCTTTTCTAGACACACTTTGTCATCCTCGCCCAAACAGCGGTTAGTAAACCATGGCTAAAGCGTAATCCGAGGCCGATCCTTGACCTGACCTTGAGCATACAAGGTGCGGGCTGATTTTACATTTTTTTTTGGGGGGGAGGGGGGCAGGGCACGTCACGTGTGTGTACATGTATATAATATATATATATATATATATATATATATATATGTGTGTATGTATGCAACCTGTTTTCCGGTGGAATGTGCGAGTCACCCATTCCACGAAGCGAGATCAAATTTAGCACGCCAAAAATACAATAACCTTACTAAGCGCGCCAAATCAAGTCAAACTAGATGAGCTTCGGTCTCTGCGCAATCTGATGCAGGTTTCCCACGTATCCTATATTCTGGGCCTGTGCTTTGAGAGCAGGAGTCATAGTTGCTTTACCTCAAACCCATCAGAAAGCAAAAAAGCTGCAGCTCATTGTCTTCAAAAGACCTGTGAACTGCTAAGCTTCCTGCGAGTCCATGAGCTGGAGAGACCCTCAAGAGGGCCATAAAGTTTCAGCTCGACTGTTTCAGTAAGTCTAGCACATGTACTTAAACATCCTCGACAGAGCAAGGTGTTGTAGATGAACACGATCAAGAGATACAGGAGCTGCAGAAGCGCAGCAGTTGAAACTTAACCAAAACACTGATAATAAGATAAGATTTCGTTCGGATTTTTAACCCCGGAGGGTTAGCCACCCAGGATAACCCAAGAAAGTCAGTGCGTCATCGAGGACTGTCTAACTTATTTCCATTGGGGTCCTTAATCTTGTCCCCCAGGATGCGACCCACACCAGTCGACTAACACCCAGGTACCTATTTGCTGCTAGGTGAACAGGACAACAGGTGTAAGGAAACGTGTCGGAATGTTTCCACCCGCCGGGAATCGAACCCGGGCCCTCCGTGTGTGAAGCGGGAGCTTTAGCCACCAGGCTAAATCTAACGAAACTGTTACTACTAGTGAGGAGGTTAGTCTGTGAAATATTACGAAAACAAGTATTTGAAAACTTCAGTAATCTTAGTTTTCAATTTGGGGGATTTAGTTTAAAAATTAGTCTCCTCAAAGATTAAATGACTGTGTAAATAATGTGTATAATTAAGGCAATATGACACTCAGTATAGTTTTTCAGCCATAGAGGGTATTCCGGGGGTCAACGCCCCCGCGGCCTTGTCCATGATCAGTCCACAATGGTGAACATCATACCTCCCATTGTTTAATAAAATTTCGAAATAACCAATAAAGACAAATAATTCGAGCTTTTATGTAAGTACCGTCATCATTAAAAATTTGAAGCTGTTATTATGAGGGTTCCCTTCAAGGGAGGTTCCTTGATGCTGGCGAGAGGCTCTTGATCTAGGGAATTGGATCTGTACTCCAGATCCAAAGCATTCAGGTTCAGTTCAGGGAACTCCCTGAATTGAACCTGAAAGCTTTCCATCCCCATCCCCCTAGGGGCCGTATAATCCTACGGGTTTAGAGTTTCCCCATGATTATAATAATATGAGGGTTATCCACTTTGCTGTTAGGAAACTAATACCTCAGTTTGCTAAATATATTTGTTACCTATGCAGCCCAAGAACCAGTACTCGTCTCCATGTAATCACCTGTATGTGGTTGCAGGGGTCGTGTCGCAGCTCTTCGCTACTGGGTTCACTCCTAGTTTCGAGTCATATCGTACCTCTTCTTAAAAGTAAGTATGGATCCTACCTCTGCCAATCCACTGTCCAGGTCGTTCTTGGACATTCCTAACATTCCTGTGACTCATCTGTGTTTTCAACTTCCAGCTGTGCCCTCGTGTTCCTGCTTCCCGTCTCTCGAGCAGTATATCTCTGTTCACCCTGTTTCTCTCAATATATTGTGCTTTGTTATATAAACCTTACTCCTTTCCTCTGATGTCATTAGCCTTAGTTCCTATAATCTCTTCTCATAGGACTTACTCCTTAACTCAGAAACTAGTCTTACTGCAGACCTCTGTACTTTCTCCAAGTTCATGACATGCTTTACAAGGTGTGGGTTTTATACTGTAATAGCATACTTATACAATGTTGTAAATGACTCCTTGCTAACATTTCTGAAAGTTATTCCTATGTTTTCCCGAAGCGTATTTGCTATGGCAGTTATGCAATTGATGTGGTCGGCACATTACTCACCCAGAGGTTCTTCTACCCGAGTGAGATTTGCAACCTATGAACTCCAAGCCAGTAGTCCGTCTTTGGTCTTCTTTGCACTTGCAGGTGTTAAATTTCATTATCCACGTGTCAGGCTAGCCCTGCAGCATGTCTAGGTTCATTTGTAATCTTTCTCACCTGTTCGTATTCTCATTAGTTTCACATCTGTGGACAGGCATACCTCTATCTATACTGTCATATCGTTCACGTATACAAGAAATAGTCCCAATCCTAGAACTGATTCTTGTTGAACCACACGCTTGACATACATCCATTCCGACACCATTTCTCTGAATATCACAAGTTGTTTACCTTCTGCTAATTATTCCTTGATCCATTGTAGTTCCTTCCATGTTAGTCCTGCCTGCTCCTCTAGCATTTGTCAATGTCTCTTGTGAGTTCCTGTATCTAAACCCTTCCTACAGTCTAAAAATATGCAGTCTACCCACCTCTCTTCTGCCTTACTTTTGTTACTTTGTTGTGCAATTCGTATTGGTTTATGAGCCTGTATTTACTATCTCTAAAGCAGTGCTTGTTATAGCTCATTAACACATTTCTTTGTAGGTGCTCCACTCTTCTCTTGATAATTTTCTTCTGTTTGTCCATTTTCTTCAATATGGGAACTACTTTTCTGCTGTCTTCCACATCTCTGGTAGTTGTCCTGTGTCGATTGACATATTCAAGATGTTGCTAGTGGCTCACACAATAATTCCTCTCCCTGTCTCAAGATCCACGGAGAGAGATCATCGAGTCCTACTGCCTTCGTAGTTCCTCGCTTACACAATAGATTTATCGTCTTCTCCTGTTGTATGTATTGTGTGCAGCACTTGTTGGTGCACTCTACCACTTCGGCTCTCTCGTAAACTTATTTCCTCTAAGAATACCTCCCTAAATTTCTCGCTGAGCTCCTTGCAGATTTTGTCCTTATTCCTTATGAGTTCACCTTCTTTCTCATCTGTGTCAGTCTCAAATTGTCATCGAGCCTCTTATCCATGCATATTCGTTTCTGGCTCTTATGTTATTTTTCTGCTTTGCTTTCTATGTTCTAGTACATTTAACATTAGCATCTCTTCACTTCTAGATAAATCATGGATTTACTCAGGTCTACCTATTGCTTCTCTTGATCTGGGGGTATGAATTCCTCATCTGCCTCCTGGCACTTTTCGGTCATATACTCCATCTCATTTGCTGTTTTCTTGTCTCTCTCCCTTTCCCACTTCACCTCGTTCTGGAATTGCCTCATGCCTGTGTAGTCTCTTTTGAAGTTTGGTTTCTTGTTTTTTTTTGTCTCTTTCCTTGTGTACTTATACAAGGTATTTGAAACATGGAACTATGTGTTCGCTAGCACAAGGGGCCTTACATATTCAGTATCACTGTCATAATCTCTCAAGGCGAGTACAAGGTCCAGCCTTGCTTGGTCATCCTCTTTTCTCTCTCTGGCTGTGCCCCTACGTGTTGGTGCATGAAATTCTCCGTTACCATCTCCAGCATCTTAGCCCTTCATGTTTAAAGACCCCAGTGTAGCTCAAGGTTCTTCCAGTCATTCTCCTTGTGGTTTAAGTCTCCTATGATCAGCAGTCCCCTTTTGATATGGTCTCCTCCGGCCACCTCAGCTAATTCATCTATTACTCTACTTTTGTTGTAATATTCTTTTCTTGGTCTCTTGCTCTTTAGTGGTGGATTTTACATCATTGCTAACATCACTTTGGTACCCCTCGTCTTAAGTGCTCCTACAATGTAAGAACACTTAAGACTATTGATTCCTCTCATCTCCTCAAAACTCCACTGGCTTCAGATTAGTAGTGCTATTTTTCCACCTTCTGTTTCCTCTGTTTTTTCTCATAATCTCACCTCCATCTAGGATAATTGAATCTGTTACCTCTGTGGGCATCGTTTCTGTGAATGCCATAATGTCTGAGGATGCCAGAACTTTTTAATGTGTGTGATACTAAAGTGTCAAGATTTTGAAGCCGATCAGAAGACAATTTCAAGTAATAAGTAGTGTTTCAAGTAATCATAAACAAAACAAAAAATGTAGATGGCTGAGGAAACTTACCACTATACAAATAATAATAAAAGGTAGAAATTCGATGCAGAATAATTTTCCTTGTGTCAACTGACTAACGTGTCACACTAAATTCGTGCCATTGGCAACGCCATGATCATTGACAGTGCTAACGCCAGTTAATGCCATTATCAGTGACAGCGCAAGTGACAGTGCCAATGCCAGGGCTAATGTCATTTCAAGTGTCAACACAGGTGCCAGTGCTCCTAAATACATGTACGGTTCTTATCCTTGGGAAATTTTTAATAGTTATGAATTTATGCAGTAAAAACTACTATCAAAACATATTTGTGAGAGTAACTGTCCATTGCTTACTCATGTTTGGCACAGGTGGGTGTGGCCAGTAATTGCGTGGATGACCCCCTCCCCTTCCTCCTGGCATGTAGGTCAACACCACTTTGTGGACCCTTACGTCAATTCATTGTTTCCTATCACCATTAGTTCATCCTCTTTTCTGCAACCTTGCAAGCTCCTGATGTGTTGATTGCAGCACGAAAGGCCTAGAGTTATCCTTTAACTCTCCCCTCGCTCGCTCTCACTTTGTTCGATTTTTACGGGAGTCGTTAGTTAGCCACCTGTCTATCGGTTTCAAGCCTCCCATACATTTTGCATCAGTTCTGTTTACCTCAACGAGCGACTGTTTCTCGCAACAATAGGCAAATCCCACTGAGCAGAGGTACTCGCGTAACAGTAGTTTGAGGCATCTGATCACTGCCGATGCTGTCTTTCCAGATTATACAGCGAAATCTGACTAGGCAGGATTTGGTAAGGATACTTATATAATGCATTGATACCCATGATTAATAACTAATGTCCTTGTAATTACAGAGTATCACCTAATTTAAGATTTAATTAAAAAAAGTAGTTAAAAGTTTTTTTTTTTTTCTATGTAATAACTCGTACCTTGGGCGCACTTCAAAGTACCGTCGGTTGTCATCTTGACTATTGAGAGAGATCGGTGTCTCTCGTGGCACGTTCTCGTAAAGGCAGAGAGTTCTTCTAACCCCATCCCCCTTCCTCACTTTCAATTGTATGGATGTGTTAGGAGTGTGTGTCTCCTTTGTGATGCATTAAATCTCCATCGCTTAAATTAACTAAAATATATTTAATCCAGATTTTTTTCTCTTTCCTCCACTCTTTTCCATATTTTCATTTCCCCGCTCTGTGATGATGAAGATAGCCTCATACAAATCCCATTTCTCCTATGCATGGGATGGGTTATGAAAGATGGCAGTTCCAATGTAACAAATTCCAGTCATGTTCAAACGAAGCCCTTGAAGTTCTTTCAACTCATAAAACTGTATTCATGAAATATGCGATCTTATTCTCATTCTCCTACTGAAGCATCTAAGCTCAGACTGACAGATTTTAACTCTTATGTCTGCACCCTAAATGATAGAAGATGCTCTCTGTAACAAATGCCCTCTTATTTATACCCATTAAAATACATTACCATTAAAATATATGCACTCGACAGTATATACATTTTAATATACCTACTTTTCAAAAGCAATGATTACCAAAGTGCATAATTACCAAAATTTGTACTCGCAATATACATTTTCACGAAAGCAAATGTTTACCAAAATCCATGGTCGCTAAAATATACGTACGCTATACTGTAGGTGCCACTGAAGATCCGTATAATGAAAATATGAATGTATTTACAACTATCCGACAAACTGATGATGGAAACTATGCAGCGTTTCGGTCCGCTAGTTCCATGATCGTGATGAGGCGTGATGTTTGAGGGAAGACTGAAACTTCGTTCTCTATTTTTCTGGCGGGTTTAGCGCCTAGTTTTAATTACAATAATATATTTTCCAATTTGTAAGGTTAGTTATATATTGTTTTAGCCACGGAATTGTGTGTTGTGAATCATTCCAGCTGCGGTATTGACTGTTATCTGTGTGAGCTTGCCAACACTATCACAGAATTTCAACCCTCACTAAAATGCACGCTCAGCCAACTGAATGAAGGGATATAATGTGACCAGCCTGGATGTTCAACCTAAAAAGAGCAAGTGACCCAGAAATTTTGGGTGAAAAAAACTGATGTCACCTTATCGTGTTGTATCTTAAATATTTGTGTAACACCATCACTATCATCACAACCACTACCAGCACTAACACTATCAGCACTATACCTCTTACCCCAACACTACCGCGTGGCACTTCCAGACTCATTAGTGCCACCACCACAACCCCCGTCCATCACCTTCACAAAATTTCCACCACTAATGTAACTATTATCATCCCCCCTCCCCAGCCATCATCACAATCTCTATTATCAATACAGTGTCAGTCATCACCACCACTATTCCCACCACAGTCACCCTCCACGACGACCACCACCACCCTCACCAGTACTACCATCACCACCCTCACAATCACCCTCACCATCACCACCACCACCACCCTCACCATCACCACCACCACCACCCTCACCATCACCACC